TTCTTTTGTTTGTATTGGTATGACACAAAAAAGTGGACAAACCAAAAGCCAAATCTGACACATTCCACCCAAAACTCCAAAAATGGACAGGACAAAATTAGTGGCACCCTCAATTTAATATTTGGTAGCACACCCCTTGGAAAAAATAACTGAAATCAATCGATTCCTGTAACCATCAACTATTTTCCTACTGAAATTTTGGACCACTCTTCTTTTACCAACTGCTCCAGGTCTCTCAGATTGGAAGGGTTTCTTTTCTCAACTGCTGTTTTGAGATCTCTCCACAGGTGCTCTATGGGATTGAGATCTGGATTCATTGCTGGCCAGTTCAGTACTCTCCATCACTTTATCTTAAGCCATTTCTTGGTGCTTTTTGACGTGTGCTTTGGGTCATTATCCTGCTGTAAGACCCATGACCTCTGACGGAGACCCAATTCTGACTCTGGGCCCTACATTGTACACCAGAATTCTTTAGTAGTCTTCAAATTTCAGAATGCCATGCATACAGTCAAGACATCCAGTGCCTGAAGCAGCAAAGCGCAAAGCTAGCTTAAAACATCAGTGAACATCCACCATGTTTGGTTGTAGGACTTTATTCTTTTCTTTAAAGGCCTCATTGCTTTTTCTGAAAACAGTAGAATGATGGGTGTTGCAAACGTGCGCATCAGAGCTGGACGCGGTTCAACCATTTTGTTAGGCATCTCCATTTTCTCCCCTCATCTTTCCACCCCTCCTTCTCACTGAGAGGAGACCTGTGGCCAGTGTGTGTGTACTGTGTATGGGTCACTGGCAGGGCAAGGCATCCCTAGTTTTGGGTGCCGAGTGGTCTGTGAAAGTGTAGCCTCTCATCTAGGCCAGGATAAGGCCAGAGTTCCCAAGAGAACTGGAGCCTCACTGACCAACGTGCCTGTGTAGTTTCACACCTCGTAAAACAGATAACGAGCCTTCCCAGAAGTTGAAAGAAATGCTGACATGATGAGCCTAACCCAGTGGAGGTGACAGAATCAGATAAACTCTGTTAAACTCCATTTTGCCACTATGTCTCATATCTTGGAATATGAGAGACTTACCTAAAAACCAGACATCCAGTCAGATTGGCTAGCAGCAGGCGAACAGTTTGATGGGTAATTTGAATTATCTCGGACCATCAGGGGAGCTGAAACATAGAACTCGTGAACCGTGCAACATATAATTTCATAATTCCTATCTAGATAATCCTCAAACTTGTCTGCATAATAATATACCCGTGGGTAAATTGTTGCATGTGCAACTGGGAAGTTATAGACCAGAATATGAATTATGAAATATGTTGGTTCCAATTTTGGGTTCCGCCTGCCGATCCCTCCCTAAACAGAGTATTGGTCAGTTACTCAGAACCACCCCCTGCTTGGAAACTTTAAAGCAGGCTGTCAAGCGTAAGAGAAGTAGAGTTGAAGAATTCTCCCATTTTTCCATCGTAACATAGGGAGATCAAAGCACCCTCCTGCTCTGACTTGGATCTGCTAACCCAGGACTTTGGCAAGTACTTTAACCCTTTCACCTCTCTCTGATATCTCTTTACTGTGCTATGGTTCTCTGTATATTTATATATATATATATTAGTTCAATCTTCTCTGCAAATATTTTATTGCACCTGTTTGACCTTTTTAGTAATAAATCTCTCTTTCTGAAAGTGTTGAAACTGTTTCTATAGTTCTTAATTGCAATTTACAAATCCCTGCCTTTGAAGAGACGCTACTGTTTGTTTAAACCTTTGTATAACCGACCTGCGGACCATTTTATACAGACGATTATTTCAATCATTATAGTGTTATAACTGATAACGCAAGTTTCCCCTTTCTCTGTACAAAAAGGAGGTGGTGGCAGTGTGGAGGGTTAGTTGCGTAATTAACCCGACCCAGTAACAATTGCTCAGGCTGTCGGTACATCGATCTGTATCCATTAGCTGGAAAATCGTTGTGCAGGGTACAGCTGGGTGTGGGATTGTTACGGACGTCACATCGTGGTTTTAGATTCGCTAGTCCTTCAGTCACAAGTTTGGTGAGAAGGTCTGGGGTCTGACGCCGCGATCGTGACAATGGGCTTTACGAAAAAACTGTAATTTTGTTTCATCTGTCCACAGCACATTCTCCCAAAAGGATTTTAGCTTCCTCAGGTAAGTTTCAGCAAACTCCAGTCTGGTTTTTTATTGTTTCTGTGCCAGCAGTGGGGTCCTCCTGGATCTCCTATTATAGTGTCCCTTTTCATTCAGATGGCAAGGTATAGTGCAAGCTGACACAGTTGTACCCTGTGCCTAAAGGTCAGCTTGAGTTTGTCTGGAAGTTGATTGATTCTTTATCTACCATTCAAACAACCCTATTTTGCAATCTTTGATCAAGTTTTCTCTTTCGTCCACATCAAGGGAGATAAGCTACAGTGACATGGACTGTAAACTTCTTGGCAATGTTGTACACAGTGGACACAGGAACATTACGTTCTCTGCAGATGGCCTTGTAACCTTGAGATTGTCCATGCTTTTCCACAATTTTTGTTTTCAAATCCTCAGACAATTGTTTGCTGCTCTTTCTCTTCTCCATGCTCCATGTGGCACACAGAGACACACAACAGAAAGGTTGAGTACATTTTTCACCATTTTAACTGGTTGCCGGTGTGATTTCTATATTGTCAGCACCTGTTAATTGATACAGGTAAGTTTTATTACAAATTACAGCAGCATAACAAACTTGAAATGGGATTATTTCTTACAATTTTGAGACGTGCCAATAGTTTTGTCCAGTCCATTTTTGAGGCTTTGCATGGAATGTGTTAGATTTGGCTTTTTGTTTCTCCTATTTTTTTGCGTCATACCAATACAAACAAAAGAAATAAACATTTGTAATTGCAACAGTTTTCTGGATGAAGTGGTGCATTATTTTACAGGAATGCAGGGGTGCCAATATTTTTGGCCATGACTGTAGATGGTTTGATTAGACAAAGTTAAGGAAGATGAAAACTTCACATTTTCATAAGTTGGTTATTTAAATATAAACAAAATTGAAAACTAAAGAGTTGATTAACTAAAGGCAAATAGACTGTTCACTTTGCAAGTGAATTTTCCCTTAGCCAAGTAAATGAGGAGAAGCCTCACCGACTTCCATGATCCAATCATGCCCAGATAAAATGCTGTTTTATTTTCCTTGCATTAGATTGGATATTCTTTGCAAAGTGGATTTTCACCACAGTTACGGTCAAGTCACAGTGAAGGTAACTAGCCTATTTGCTATAGCCCTACTGAGAAAACATGCCTAAAATAATTTTGCATATTAGGAGTATGAAATGTATTAACAAGTAAACCAGTGCAGAGTACAAAACAGCAAACTTGCCCTGGGAATTCGGAACGTCTTTTTGGATTAAAGCGGAACTACACTGCATCTGAGCACCACAAACCAAAAACACTAATTCATTTCTAGCATTTAAAGCAAACGCATCCATCCAACCATGTCTCCATGTTTTATTTTGCTGAGAAATCATTTTGAAAAACACCCCCTAACATTTCTGGCTGTAGCCATCTTGAGTAAGGGCAGATGATCCACGCAGCATGTACGCCCTGGAATCCATCTGCCCTTAGCTCAGGAATGCATGCAGGAGGTTGTGCTTAGCTGAGAAAACCCCTCCTCCCCTCCTGAAGACTCCTGGGATGTATGACATAATTTGCCTGGACCTGAAAACAAGAAATTAACTAAAATAGGAAAGTATTTCATTTTTACTTGTTTTAAAAACATTTTTTCAATCTATTTACTAAGGCCAGCAGCATAAGGATTAAAAGTGAATGTTGATTGAGAGAGTGAAGTTCCGCTTTAAGGCGTTAACAGAAGCTAACCTTACAGAAAAGCAATATTATCAGGGGGCATTGTTACCAGAGGATGATGTTATCAGACACCATGCTGCCAGATTAGGGGAGCATGTTACAGGAGGATTCACATTACTAGAGATCCATTGTTAACAGAGCTGCCATGGTGGCAGAGAGATGATGTTCAAGGGGTGGGGGCAGGTTGCTAGAAATGCCACAAAACAAAAGAACCAAAAAGCCAAAGAGTTTAGTAAGTTAAGGGTCAATTAACTTTTGATGCTCCTATTGTACAGCAGTGATACCCTTGTAGTGATGTCTTCAGTCTCTGGGCTATGTATTGATTTATAGTCAAGTAAATATATAATAGCTGTTTCACTATTGCTAGCTGCTAGCAGTGAGAATTACTAAAGAAATAAGCTCATAGTAAATGTATCTCAACTTGTAACTTGCTACTTGTTCAAAGCCATGATATTTGATTATTTAGTTTCTGTAATTTATCATTTTATGCCTGCTGTGTTTCCTCTGGCTTGTTGATTTATTACATTTATTTGTACAATTAATCACCGGTTCGAATCCCAACCATGACACTACCTGCCTGGAGTTTGTATGTTCTCCCTGTGCATGCGTGGGTTTCCACTGGGTACTCTAATTTCCTCCCACACTCCAAGGACATGATGGTAGGTTAATTGGCTCCTGTCTAAAGTGGCCCTAATATGTGTGAATGTGAGTGAGGGACCTTAGATTGTAAACTCCTTGAGGGTTAGGGACTGATGTGAATGTACAATATATATACGTAAAGCGCTGCGTAATTTGATGGCGCTATATAAGTATCTGTAATAAATAAATATTCATAATATCCACTCAAATGCCAGACAGCCCCAAAGTGTGTCTGCACTAGCAGTGCTGCTGAACATGAATAATGAATAAGGCTACATTCACATGGGCACATGGGGGACGATAACTTGCTGCATTCAGAGGTCTCTGGACCCATAAACACTCTTTGCTAGTGACGCATACAAACTGGCCAATTAGCTGCAGTCATATTGTGTGCAGCCAGACCTCCGCAGAAATCCTGACCCTGGACCTGGACGCACACTGACCATGTCCAAGATCAGCCGGAGGTTCTACAGCGGCATATCTGTACCTTTTGTAAATCTGTCTCTGATACACAATGAAAAATGTGTGTGTTTTTGTATTGCAGGCATCGCCATGTACTGGAAAAGCAATTTGACATTGATTATCTCATGAAGGTACATTTTTGTTAATCACAAAGCAAAGTTGTTTTTAATTTTTTTTGTGTATTACAGCTTACATAGCATGAAGATATTTACCTGAATCTAAGCGCCTACCTAGCATATCCTCTCAGTGAATTCTTTACAGATCCTCGGAGTGAATTTTTTCCGCATTATGCCATGCTGTGCTATACTGCGGATCAACTGATATTAAAGCGCCTGTCATTTAAATCCTTTGCAGCAACACTGCTAGTCATGTCTAGTGTCCTACTAGCACAGCTACAATATATATAAGATCCCAGTCTTCACTAGAGAGCATTAAGGAAACACCATCTGTACAAAATAATCATATGCTGTATATGAAGTAGCCATTGTAGTTGATCTTTCAGCATATAGAGGCTTAATCAATAGGTAGCACAAACAATTAGAAAGAATTTAATGGCTCAGACATGAATACTGTACAATATCAAGTCTGCAAAACCTGACAGAGGTTCTTAATTCTTCTTCTACTCTATCCCATTCAGAACACAATAGCACAGTGGAGGAGATCAGCGCACTCACATTTCTTGTATTAGTATAGCGATCTGTCAGGTTTTTTTTTGTTCATCCTGCTGGGTTGAATGGAAAAAAAAAAAAAAACACAAGAAACTTAAAAAAATTCTGTCCCTACAACAGGCATCTCCATTGGAAGATTTCCCATCAACTTCTATTAAGCTGACAACTGTCAAATGGTGACATCCTTTCTTAGCTATGGTAGCAGGTCAGAATGTGAAAATAAATCGCTCCACTAGGGACACAGATAGTAATTCTAACATTGCACCAATCAACCCAAAATTAGAAAGAAAAAAATCCTCTGACTCATAATCTGAAGTTATTCATAGAAATGCATTTGTACCACATGCTTAAAGTGTCTGTAAACCTCAAACATGAAATATGAACAAAGCATATCCTTCTATAGTGTGTACTCCTCTGCTATCGGCATGAGTCACTTCTGACAAGTTTTCCTGACACCAAAAGAAAAAAGGTGACAGGGGAGGGAGCTCCAGCACACAGACTGTGATTGACAGCCTCAGCTCTGTTCTTGTGAGCTGTGTGGAGGGGGGGGTGTTTCTTCCCTCCAATCAACTCTCAGAGCTCTCCTCACTGAGCTCTGCAGTGTGTAATTTCAGCTCTTTGCCTACTTTTTTCTGAACTCTCAGACAAGCCTTATAAATCCTGGTCTTCAAATGGATGTAGAGAACAGAAGACTACAGATAAACAGGTACAACCTATGTAGGAAGATTTTTTTCATCTCTGTGTATCATCTGAGGCCAGTCATGTAAGGGGTTAACAACCACTTTAAGGTAACCACTTATTGTGTTGGTGATCATCTTGAAGATCTGGTAATGTCTGACAATGCTGATCGTCACGTTGTTTCCCTATTTTCTGTGTTCTATCTGCAGGCTAAGTCTATTAGAGAGTTTGACACAAGATTTACCTCAGTGATGTTTGGTTATCCGACAAATGATCACTATTACAAGGATGCTAGTCCTTGTCACAGGGTGAAATCAATTGAGATACCAGTATTGTGTCTGAATGCTGTGGATGATGTCTTTTCTCCTGGTCATGGTGAGGATATATGGAAAACATATGTAAATAATGCATACTGTATGAACAGCAATAGGATAACACAAAAATACCTTTAAAAATGAGTGATTTATGGAGCTCAAAATGTGCTGGAAGAGAGAGAACCACTACTAGAATCTGATTCGTGATTGGTAGCATGAAACATAGCCTTAAAGCCCCAATTATGCATTATGGTTTCCCGCAGTACCACACACCTCTATATGGAAACCGATCAGCACATTTCATTCATGTCTGTCCCATACATTCTGTATTAGTGTTCCTTTTTTTGAGCTATAACAATGAAAGGGCATTTTAAACTGGAACTGCAGGAAGATAACTTTTTCTGACTTGTGCTAGGTTCAGATTGCTGATGTGTAGGGTAAAAATCATACTTTAATTCATGCTAAAAAATTTATCCAGCACTATAATTTTGGTGTTGTGAGTATGAAGGCTGTGGCCCCTTATACAGTGAAAGGATCCTGTTATTTATCCTCTTTTCCTTTCCCATTGTCCATTAGCAAAATGCCTTTTATTCGGTTCACAGAATGTAAACTATTCTGTGAATAGATGTGGGAAGATCCTGCTGTTTACATGCCCCTCCTTTCCATGTCTCCCTTCACAGAACATCTTGTATTCTGTGAACATTATACAAGGAGTTTTGTGAGTAGACAAGGGAAGAGCAAAGGGAGGGCAAATGACTGGATCCCTTCACTGTATGAAAGCTGCATCTCTCATAACTCAAGTGTGCAGAGCCAGAAGTACAGCACTGGCTGTAATTTTCTGTATAAATGAAACTATAATTTTACCTTAGAGCTGATTCACACATGTGCGGTGCGGATTGAAGCTCATGTTTCACAGCTAATTGATACAATAGTTGTATAGTGGTTCATGTCAGGTTTACATTAGGTTCAGGACAGGATTAGCTCAGGATCTTATCCTGTTTACACATATGCAGTTTAGAAACGGTTCCCATAGAAGTCAACAGCCTGTAATCCGCACCTGAACCTGAAGGCACTGTTTAGAAATCGGACATGACTATTTTTCAAACCGCAATGAATCTGCACCACCAGTGTACCGGACATACATTATGTTGCCAGAAGTATTGAGACGCCTGCCTTTACACGCAGATGAACTTTAATGGCATCCCAGTCTTAGTCCGTAGGGTTCAATATTGAGCTGGCCCACCCTTTGCAGCTATAAGAGCTTCAACTTTTCTGGGAAGGCTGTCCACAAGGTTTAGGAGTGTGTCTATGGGAATGTTTGACCATTCTTACAGAAGCGCATTTGTGAGGTCAGGCACTGATATGGGATGAGAAGACTTGGCTCACAATCTCCACTCTAACTCATCCCAAAGGTGTTCTATCGGGTTGAGGTCAGGACTCTGTGCAGACCAGTCAAGTTCCTCCACCCCAAACTCGCTCATCCATGTCTTTAGAGACCTTGCTTTGTGCAGTGGTGTACAGTCATGTTGGAACAGGAAGGGGCCATCCCCAAACTGTGGCCACAAAGTTGGGAGCATGAAATTGTCCAAAATGTCTCCGTATGCTGGCACCTTAAGAGTTCCCTTCACTGGAACTAAGTGGTCAAGCCCAACCCCTGGAAAGCAACCCCACACCATAATCCCCCGTCCACCAAACTTTACACTTGGCACAATGCAGTCAGGCAAGTACCGTTCTCCTGGTAACCGCCAAACCCAGACACATCCATTGGATTGCCAGACAGAGAAGCGTGATTTGTCACTCAAGAGAAACAAAAAACAAGATATACCTGTGCTCAAATCCCAATAGTTGGTACATGCATTTATCTATCAGGTGCTAAAGGGGTGTAACCACATAATAACACTAGAAATTCTGAAGGCCCTCTGCACACTGCTATATACCCTTTTCAGCAGACTTTCCAATAAATAATAAGGATATTTAGTTCACACATATTGCAATACATGTTTAAGCTGGCCAACTAAGTCAAAGTAATCCCTCTATGGCCAGTCACTCCAGAGAACACGTCTCCAGTGCTCTAGAGTCCAGTGGCAGCGTACTTTACACCAAAGCATCCGATGTTTTGCATTGCACTTAGTGATGTAAGGCTTGGATGCAGCTGCTCGGCCATGGAAACCCATTCCATGAAATTCTCTACGCACTGTTGTTAAAATCTGTAGGCCACATGAAGTTTGGAGGTCTTTAGCTATTGACTCTGCAGACAGTCGTCGACTTCTGTGCATTGTGTGCTTCAACATGCTTTGACCCCGCTCTGTCATTTTACGTGGCCTACCACTTTGTGGCTGAGTTGCTGTTGTTCCCAGTTTCTTCCACTTTCTTATAATACCACTAACAGTTGACTGTGGAATATTTAGTAGCAAGGAAATTTCACGGATGGACTTATTGCACAGGTGGCAACCTATCATGGTACCACACTTGAATTCACTGAGCTCCTGAGAGTGACCCATTCTTTCACAAATGTTTGTAGAAGCAGTCTGCATGCCTAGGTGCTTGATTTTATACACCTGTGGCCATGGAGGTGATTGGAACACCTGAATCCACTGATTTGGAGGGCTGTCCAAATACTTTTGGGAATATAGTGTATGTGAACAGGCACCATAGGAAGCAATGCTTTTTCACATCATGCGGATTGGATGTGGTTCAAACCGCATCCAATCCGCATATACAGTTGTGTTCAAAATAATAGCAGTCAGACATCACTAACCTGATCAATCACTGTTTTTGGTAGAAATTATATTTCTACATGGCAAATAATTTACTAGCAGGCGTAGTAGATTAATAGAAATCCAACAGACCCAACAGTCCTGACATGCATGCTGCTGATTCTGTGTAATTGAATCACTAATTGAAAGGGGCATGTTCAAAATATTAGCAGTGTGGAGTTCTATTAGTGAGGTCATTCATTCTTTGAAAAACAGGTGGCAATTATTGCCTTTATTTAAGGAAGGAAGGCAGCAAATGTTATACATGCTGGTTGCATTTCTCTCTGAAATTCTGAGGAAAATGGGTTGTTCCAGACATTGTTCAGAAGAACAGCGTACCTTGATTAAAAAGTTGATTGGAGAGGGGAAAACATATAAAGAAGTGCAGAAAATGATAGGCTGCTCACTCTAAAATGATCGCAAATGCTTTAAAATGGCAACCAAAACCCGAAAGACATGGAAGAAAGCGAAAAACTACCATTCGAATGGATAGAAGAATAGCCAAAATGGCAAGGACTCAGCCAACAATCAGCTCCAGGAAGATCAAAGAAGGTCTAAAGTTACCTGTGAGTACTGTTACAATTAGAAGACGCCTATGTGAAGCCAAGCTATCTGCAAGAAGCCCCCGCAAAGTCCCACTGTTGAAAAAAAGACGTGCTGAAGAGGTTACAATTTGCCAAAGAGCACATTGACTGGCCTAAAGAGAAATTGGTGCAACATTCTGTGGACTGATGAAAGTAAGATTGTTCTTTTTGAGTCTAGTGGCCGGAGACAGTTTGTCAGACGACCCCCCAAACACTGAATTCAAGCCACAGTACACTGTGAAGACAGTGAAACATGGTTGCGCAAGCATCATGATATGGGGATGTTTCTCATACTACTGTGTTGGGCCTATTTATCGCATACCAGGGATCATGGATCAGTTTTAATACATCAGAATACTTGAAGAGGTCATGCTGCCTTATGCTGAAGAGGAAATGCCCTTAAAATGGGTGTTCCAACAAGACAACGACCCCAAACACACCAGTAAACGTGCAACATCTTGGTTCCAGACCAACAAGATTGATGTTATGGAGTGGCCAGCCCAATAACCGGATCTTAATCCAATAGAAAACTTGTGGGGTGACATCAAAAATGCAGTTTCTGAGGCAAAACCAAGAAACTGTGGAATGTAGTCCAATCATCCTGGGCTGGAATACCTGTTCACAGGTGCCAGAAGTTGGTTGACTCCATGCAACACAGATGTACAGCAGTTCTCAGAAACAGTGCTTATACAGCTAAATATTAATTCAGTGATTCAAAGGAAAGCAAAATCTTCAAACATTTTTCAGTTTATATAGTGAATGTTTGAGTTTGTAAAGAAGAATACAAGCACTGCTATTTTTGAACAGTCTAATATTCACTTTTCTTCAACTTGTTTAGAGGAACAACACAAATTTGATATATTTTTCTTCATGTTTTGATTTGGAATAGAATGTGTAGTGTTCCCAATGCATTTGGGTGTATGGAAATAAAAGCTATTAGAAGGATTTTGAGCTTTATTCACTTTTTTCAGCACACTGCTATTATTTTGAACACAACTGTATGTGAAGGAGCACTTACACAGCAGCAATCCAGACCTAGGGTAAACATCATTAGAGGTAACTTGTCTGTACACAGCACATGTAAGAAAATGTTTTTTGGGAAAAGTAAAAACTAAAGAAAAAATGCTTGTAAAACATGTTTTAATATACTGTACAATACACTGAACCTATACTATAATACATACAGCGGTTAACAGTCTTTTTGTACAAACAAAAATAGAGTTGAAATACCTTTCCTGGAGAAAATAATGCTGCACATTCCCTCTACTGCTTCCTATAGAACCTAAAATGCAGTTTATATACTGGCAAAAGATACAGATGCAGTTTACAGATGAAACTCGAAAATATAGAATATCGTGCAAAAGTTCATTTATTTCAGTAATGCAACTGTAGAAACTTCACACTGGACTTCAAGCATCTTGCAGTGTGTGCCTCTCCATTCTTCCTCCATACTCTGGGTCCTTGGTTTCCAAATGAGGTGCAAAAGTTGCTCTCATCAGAAAAGAGGACTTTGGACCACTGAGCAACAGACCAGGTCTGTTTTTCTTTAGCCCAGGTAAGACGCTTCTGACGTTGTTTGTTGTTCAGGAGCGGCTTGACAAGAGGAATACGACATTTGAAGCCCATGTCCAGGATCCATCTGTGTGTGGTGGCTCTTGATGCACTGACTCCAGCCTCAGTCCACTCCTTGTGAAAGTCCCCAACACTTTTTGAATGGCCTTTTCCTGACAATCCTCTCCAGGCTGCAGTCATGCCTGCTGCTTGTGCATCTTTTTCTTCCACACCTTTCCCTTCCACATAACTTTCTATTAATGTGCTTTGATACAGCACTTTGGGAACATCCAACTTCTTTTGCAATTACCTTTTGAGGTTTTCCCTCCTTATGGAGGGTGTCAATGATGGTTTTCTGCACAACTGTAAGGTCAGCAGTCTTTCCCATGATTGTGATTCCTACTGAACTAGACTGAGAGACCATTTAAAGGCTCAGGAACCCTTTGCAGGTGTTATGGCTTAATTAGCTGATTAGAGTGGGACACTTTGAGCTGAGAATATTGCACCTTTTCACAATATTCTAATTTTCTGAGATTGTGGATTTGAGGTTTTCATGAGCTGTAAGCCATAATCATTACAATTATGACAAATCACGGCTTGAACTATCTTGCTTTGCATGTAATGAGTCTATCTCATATATTAGTTTCACCTTTTAAGATGCATTACTGAAATAAATGAACTTTTGCAGGATATTCAAATTTTTCGAGTTTCACCTGTATATACTAGAACATAAACATATGACATGCGCATCTGAAATGGCATGCTGTAACCATGAAAGTTATTATGCTTAAAGGAAACCTATCATGAACAAAGCATGAAGGTTGCCTTTGCTGACATATTCATTTAGAAATGCTGACTGCCATGCTGACTTTTGAAATTTGAAAGTGTAAAACATGCAGAAAAGGCTTTACTTTCACTTACTGGATTTGCATACTTTCCTGACTCTTGTTTAAGGCATGCCTGTTCATTACCATACAATATATAGTCAAAAGCATATGGCACCCCTTCAAATTGCTGAGTTTAGGTGTTTTTTTTTACAAAGGGTACTCTTAATGCTACAGCATAGACATTTATGTTAACAACATCACTGCCTTCACAAATGGTTTTTTGGCTGAAAGGGCACATCAAAATCTTGTGGAAAACCTTTCCAGAAGCATGAAGGCTGTGAAAGCTGCAAAAGGGAGGCGGGAGGACTTATATTAATGCCCTTGCATTTGGAATAGAATGTTCAACAAGCTCATTTAGATGTGATGGCCAGTTGACCACATACTTTGGGCGACATAGTGTAAGTGAAAGTAAAGCTAGCTATGCATGGCTAGATTTCTCTCATTTAGTCCACTGACTGAATGAGAAAAAAAAATCAATAGATTCCTTCATCTACACTGAATAGCATGGATGGAGGAATCTGCACTGACAGTTATTAAATTCAATCAGTCGCAGCATCACTGTTTGGCCACCAATTTTCCACTTGGCTAAGTTGATTTTTCAGTCAAGTTTTGTCTGACTCAGTGATGCGATAGGGCCACCCACAGCTCAAATTTTGGCCAGTTCAACAGGAATCGGACGTACTTCGAGCTGTGTATGGCCAAATATTGTTTGACTATCACATAAGAAACAGCACATAACACTATATACTTACCTAGTAATAATGTATTACATTTTTTCTTCACTTTAGCAATACCAGTGGAAAGTGCCAAACAAAATCCAAACGTTGCTCTGGTACTTACTGCCTATGGAGGCCACATTGGATTCCTGGAAGGCATTTGGCCAAGACAGCAAACTTACATGGATCGTATTTTCAAGCAGTTTGTCCAAGCAATTTTTGAGCATGGCAATGAAATTTCAAGCATGTAGCTTCTTGAGATGATGCTGTTTTTGTTGTCTACTACTTGTTCTTATACAGTGGCAGGCTCTAATAAAGTCATTACAGCGTATGCACAAGTTAACCCTCTAGATGCTAATGACTTATGAAACTATACCTCTAAAGAAGTACAAGGGTTAAGAGCCAAATATAACAAGCAGGCAAGCCAGCAAAACAGGATTGAATTCTCTCGTATTCAAAACTAGCAAATATTTAAATATATATAAATATATATATATATAGCAGTTATATATACACATTTTGTAGCAAAAATTTGCATACAGGAATGTTAGCATTTTGTATTTAAATTTTTAAGTGTTACCAAGAATGACCTTAAGTATATTTAAGCTCTGCATATACTGAATTGCACTTAACCAGAACCATAATGTACACAAATACACATTCCTCAGGGTTTTCATAGAGACCAGTTTCTCTGCCTAGAGTTGCAAGCATTACCGTAATACAGTTTGACGGATTAGCAGATCCTGATTTGTGTTAACATAATGCATGCTCATGAAGGCATTGTACAAAGCAAATGTAAAACAGCATATATGAATAGATAATGTAACCTGCACAAAGGTATACTACAGAATGAAGGAAAGCATGGATTGTAGCAGTATTAGACTGACTCTATTAACTTATTGCATATAGCCTGGAAGACATGCAATGTATAACTTATTTTATGTTCTAAGCCATGTTCTTTTTTGCATATTTATTTTATAACTGGCTGATTTCAAATGCATTTTGAAGTGTATATTTTTTAGTTTATCTTCTTCAAATAAACAGTGTAATTTTAATCTGCCTGCTGCTGTGTCCAGAGTGATGTTATTCTATAAGCATGATAGTCAATATTAGGGTAAAAAATTTCTAAACAGAACAAAAAAAGGAACACAGGAACTTTATAGTACATTTACAATGAGTTCTGTGCACCTGCCTTCAGGTAATTAGACACTGGCAAAAAAGAAGACTGCAGGTATATTATTATTATTATACAGTATTTATAAAGCGCCAATAGTTCGCTCAGCGCTGTACATTACAAAGGGGGACAGAACATGTGACAGAACAATACCCGTACAATTCAAAACATGAGGGGATCGAGGGCACTGCTCTTTCGAGCTTACAATCTATGAGGGAGGGGATGGTGGCACAGGAGGAGATAGCTGTGGGGGATGGAGTGGTAGGAAGAGTGGAGGAGGTCGGCAAGTTAGCAGGGGGTGGGGTAGGCTTCCCTGAAGAGATGGGTTTTCAGGGTGCGCCTAAAGGAGAGGAGAGTAGGTGATAATCTGATGGGTTGGGGCAGGGAGTTCCAGAGGATGGGTGACACCCTGGAGAAGTCCTGGAGGCAGGCATGGGAGGAGGAGACCAGGGAACTAGAGAGAAGGAGGTCTTGTGAGGAGCGGAGTGTGCGTGCTGGGCGGTACTTGGATATTAGGACAGTGATGTAGTTCGGGGCAGTATGGTGGACAGCTTTGTACGTCAGCGTTAGGATTTTGAATTTGATCCATTGCGCAATCGGAAGCCAGTGGAGGGATTGGCAGAGGGGGGTGGCGGAGACAGAAAAGGTGAATGAGTCTGGCAGCCATATTCATGATCGACTGAAGCGGGGATAGCCAGCGGCGAGGCAGGCCAGTGAGGAGGGAGTTGCAGTAGTCAAGTCGTGATATGATGAGGGAGTGGATGAGCTGTTTAGTGGTTTCTGGGGTTAGGAACGTGCGTATTTTGGCGATGTTGCGGAGGTGGAGTCTGCACGAGTTTGTTAAAGATTGGACTTGGGGTTGAAAAGATAGGTTGGAGTCCAGAAATACACCAAGTACTCTGGCCTGCAGGGCGGGTTTGATGGTAGCGTTGTTGGATGTGACGGAGAAGTCAATGGGGGGTGGTGTCCGGGCTGGGGGGAAGACAAGAAACTCGGTTTTGGAGAGGTTCAATTTAAGGAAGTGGAACGACATCCAGTCTGATATGTCGCTCAGTAGGTGTGTGATTCGGGCTGAGACCAGGGGGGTGAGGTGGGGGGTTGAGAGATAGATTTGTGTGTCGTCGGCATAGAGGTGGTAGTTGAAGCCGTGAGAGTGTATGAGTTGGCCAAGGGAGGAGGTATAGATGGAGAAGAGAAGGGGCCCGAGGACAGAGCCTTGAGGGACCCCAACAGAGAGGGGGAGTGAGGGGGAGGTGGTAGCATTAGGTAACGCTGAAAGAGCGTTGTGACAGGTAGGATGAGAGCCAGGAGAGAGCAGAATCTCTGAGGCCGAGGGAGTGTAGTTTTTTGAGGAGGAGGGGGTGGTCGACTGTGTCGAAGGCCGCAGAGAGGTCAAGGAGTAGGAGCACTGAATAGTGGCCATTAGCTTTGGCGGTTAGCAGGTCATTGGAGAGTTTGAGTAAGGCAGTTTCGGTGGAGTGTAGGGAACGGAAGCCAGACTGTAGGGGATCGAGGAGGTTGTTGTCGTTGAGGTGAGAGCATAGGCGGGTGTAGACTAGGCGCTTGAGGAGTTTAGATGTAAATGGGAGCAGGGAGATGGGTCTGAGGTTGTTTCGGGTCATTGGGGTCCAGGGAGGGCTTTTTAAGTATGGGGGTGATGTGTGCATGTTTCAGAGGGGAGGGGAAAGTGCCGGAGGAGAGGGAGAGATTGAAGATGTGGGTGAGGGAGCGTAGGATGGAGGGGGAAGGAGGTCGTAGGAGTTGTGAGGGATAGGGTCGAGGGGCAGGTGGTGAAGCGGGCATCAGAGAGGATCTTGGAGACTTCCTCGATGGTAGTAAGGTCAAAGGTGCGGAGTGTTGGGGGAGCTTCAGTATGAGGAATGTAGGGTGGGGTGGAAGAGGAGGTCAGAGCAGTGGTGGGGCCGTGGGAGAGGGGTGATGAGGGGGTAGCTGAGTGAGGGTGAAGGGGGTTGGAGAGAGTTTGAGCAGCGACGAAGTCCCTGCAGGTTATGTCGAGGGGGAGGGGGGATAAGGGGGTAGCTGTGTGAGAGGGGACGGGTTAAGAGGGTGTGTGTGTTGCGGCAATGTCCTTGCGAATGGTGTCAATCTTGTTTTTTGAAGTGATTGGCAATCTCAAGGGCAGTGAGTGAGGTGCTGGGTGGAGGTGGGGGTGGAGAGAGTAGAGGGTTGAAGGCGGAGAAGAGTCGGCGAGGATTGGAGGAGAGGGCCTTGATGAGGGTCAAGAAGTAGGCCTGTTTGGCAGCATGGAGGGAGGAGGTGTAGGTGTGGAAGGCAGATTTGTAGCGGGTGAAGGCTTGTTGGGATTTGGTTTTGCGCCATAGTCGCTCCAGGGCACGACTGTGTCGTTTGAGGGTTTTGGTGTGATCAGTCTGCCAGGGCTGGAGCGGTCGGGGTCTGATACTGCGTGTGGTTAAAGGTGCTAGTGAGTCAAGGGCTGTTGAGAGCGCGTTGTTGTAGGCAGTCATAGCCAAGTCAGGGCAGGACAGGGGGGAGGATGCTGTCATGGAGTTGATCAGCTGCAGAGTGGAGGGAGGCAGGGTTAAGGTTGCAGAGGTTACGGCTGGTAGTAGTGTGACATTTGGAGGGGTAGGCGTTGGAGGACGAGGAGATAGAGAAGGTGATCAGGTTGTGGTCAGAGAGAGGGAAGAGGGTGTTAGTGAGGTTGTGGGGAGCGCAGCGGTTGGAGAAGACGAGATCAAGGATATTACCGTCGGAGTGGGTGGTGGATTGTATGCACTGTGCAAGTGTAAAGGAGGAGGTTAAGTGGAGGAGACGGGCTGTGTCCAGGTTGTCGAGGTTGACAGGGATGTTGAAATCCCCAAGGATGATGGTGGGTAGCTCGGAGGAGAGGAAGAAGGGTAGCCAGGAGGAGAAGTCATCCAGGAAGCAGGGTATGGATCCAGGAGGCCGGTATATCACAGCAATCTTCAGGGGGGTTGGGGAGAATAGTCGGACGCAGTGGGCCTCGAAGGAGGAGAAGGATAGGGAGGGGGGGTTTGGGAGGACTCGGAAGGTGCTCTGCGGTGACAGGAGCAGACCACCCCACCACCTTTACGACCGTTAGGTCTGGGTGAGTGGGTCCAGGTGAGACCTCCGTAGGAGAGTGCAGCAGGGAGGTAGAGTCAGTGGGCTGGATCCAGGTTTCCGTGATCGCTAGGAGGTTGAGGGAGCGGGAAACAAAGAGGTCGTGGATGGCGGTAATCCCAATAGACAATCCCTCCTACTCTCAGCTAGCCTCTGTTTTTTTTTGCTAATGTCCTTAGGTGATGGATCTCTTCTCTCCACTAAGAGAAGTTCACCTCTTTCACATGAAGGTTTTTTTTCTCGCTGATGATCCTTCTGTCAAGCCCTCTGGCTGCACTTTAGCCACTGTGACTCCCTCTGCATCTCGGTTGACTCCTCAGCCGAGTCTTGGGGAACTGCACACCACAGAGTTGAAGAAGTGATGCCAGCCTGTAATGTTGCTGGAAAGCATTGTATCCTGGAGGTGCACACTTGTGGAGTGAGCCGCAGGGTGCTTTACAATTCCAGGTTTGTGGTCTGTCAGCAGAAGAGCCCTGTCCCTGACAACCTCTGAGGGTGTATGTCCATCGTGGAGGGCAAAGCCATGGTGGGGTTTGACCCTTTTAATCTTGCCTGCAGAGCTTTTGCGGTAAGTACAGGGGTGAAGCCTTTTAAACATTCATGCCCAGGATGCCATTGAAATTTCACATCCTTTTTGGGTGACGGCAACCAACCTTCTGGTGGTCATGGATTGGAACAGGGAGTACTGGGTTAAATTAGATGTATTGACGCACATGCTATTGTTTTGTTTCAGAGACCTTTGGCCTCTCACTCCCTGGGGCCTTGGTTCAAGGTGTTGTACACATCTTTTCCCTTATATGTTCCCCTGTGTCTCCTTGGAAATTATTCTGGTTCTCTCACCCACTTCAATAACCAACTTTTGAACCTATTAATAATATTTCTTTTGTCTGACCTCACTTGCAAGGTGGACTTTCTTGTTACTATCCCTTCTACATGGAGGGTCTCTGAGTTAATTAGCAGCCTTCTGTTAGG